GCAGGAATAGGGAGGCAGGAAAAGGGAATGAAAAAGCAGATTTTGGCATTCCACCAGCATTCACGAACTTTCAACCCAATACAGTAGTAGAAAATGGAAGAGGTGGAGGCAAATTAACACTAAATTTTCACCTAAGAATCCAGACTTCATGTCCCAAACTGTAAAACTACAGCTTCAATGATATGAACAAAGCAGGTTGATTTATGCTAGCTCTTCTTAGCTTATACATTCACATCTCTTGATTACTCCCTGGCACTGTATTAGATGAGAGTAGAAAAAAATATTCCTGTGAGAGGAATCATTAGTGACAAGGGTAAAAAGCAAAGTAAAATAAAAAGACAATAGCCAGAAAAAGTGGAGCTGTAGCAAACAGCAGCAAATGGATTTTTTATTTTCCTGGATTGTAAAGCTGACACATACTGAAGGTTTAATAACTGTTTTTTCCCCTGAATTATCTGTTTGCACAGTTGAGATGGTAGGCATTACTTTTCCTAACAGTAGAACCCTTTGGCTGAATTTGTTATTCAAAGTATAGAATGTACTTTGAATAGTAGATAGGCACCTTGCTTACAGCAAACAAGTGCCAGCATCAGTATACCAGAACACACAAACTGTAATTTGCATGTCTAGACTTTATTACAGCATTTTAGTTACAACGTATCCCTGACATACAAGTCAATGTAATTTTACATTTCATTATGTCTGCTGCTACTTTCCCAAGCAAGACCAGCATTTAAAAAGAATTGCAGAATTTCAGCATTGCTAAAAAGCTATGGAAGTGACAGTATGTGCCAGTTTGTAGAGAAAATCTATTTTTTTCCGCAATCCTTCCCTCTTCCAACTAGTCATTATCTATTCGTAACTGTTTTTACACTATTTTTCAAATACATAAAATACGGAGCTACAAGATACAATGTTTTTCTTTTAGTTAATAAATTATTCAAGCAAGATTTTTTGAGCCTGCAGAGGTAGCCAGTTACACATAAAGAAATGGGTGCAAATTGGAGCATAGGAGGTTCAAGGTGAATATCCAAAAAATTTTTTTTACTGTGAGAGTGACAGAGCACTGGAACAGACTGCCCAGGGAGGTTGTGGAGTCTCCTTCACTGGAGACATTCAAAACCCACCTGGACGCGTTCCTGTGTGATGTGCTCTAGGTGATCCTGCTCTGGCAGGGGGGGTTGGACTAGATGATCTTTCGAGGTCCCTCCCAACTAGACTTTATTACAGCATTTTAGTTACAACGTATCCCTGACATACAAGTCAATGTAATTTTACATTTCATTATGTCTGCTGCTACTTTCCCAAGCAAGACCAGCATTTAAAAAGAATTGCAGAATTTCAGCATTGCTAAAAAGCTATGGAAGTGACAGTATGTGCCAGTTTGTAGAGAAAATCTATTTTTTTCCGCAATCCTTCCCTCTTCCAACTAGTCATTATCTATTCGTAACTGTTTTTACACTATTTTTCAAATACATAAAATACGGAGCTACAAGATACAATGTTTTTCTTTTAGTTAATAAATTATTCAAGCAAGATTTTTTGAGCCTGCAGAGGTAGCCAGTTACACATAAAGAAATGGGTGCAAATTGGAGCATAGGAGGTTCAAGGTGAATATCCAAAAAATTTTTTTTACTGTGAGAGTGACAGAGCACTGGAACAGACTGCCCAGGGAGGTTGTGGAGTCTCCTTCACTGGAGACATTCAAAACCCACCTGGACGTGTTCCTGTGTGATGTGCTCTAGGTGATCCTGCTCTGGCAGGGGGGGTTGGACTAGATGATCTTTCGAGGTCCCTCCCAACCCCTAGGATTCTATGATTCTATGAAAAGCAGAAAAGCCTAATCTGGCTCTGAAGAATTACCTGACTATAGGCCTTTTCTATTGCTCTAAATTTCCTATAGCAATATATGTATTTAAGTAAAATGTGTTTTACCATCTTACTATATTATTTCCCCTCTGGGTATGTGATTAAAGCAGGTCATAATTATCCCTTGCATTGCTTGACAAGCCAGCAGCCAAGTGGTGGTCTAGAAGGGAATCTTCATTGTGCTCCAGCTGCAGCTTTGAAATTGCTGACATTTCTGATACAGCAAGCTCAACATCACAGGAACTTTCGGAAATTACCACATCACCTACTTCTGTTTATCTATACTTCCCAGTGCTGTGACCTTCAAAGGGCATACAGTCATTCACATGTAATATGTCCTTACTACTCCACTGTCCTACAGGTCTTGGTGAATTACCCAGGGAGATTTATGGACAGCTGGCTTCATGGGATGCACAGGCTGTTCTGAAAGACAACCACCCCATCCCCCAAAACAAAACACACAAAAAGAGTCCAAAGTCCCCCACCAACAAAAACAGTCTTCTGTCTTTTGAACAGGGTTCAAAATCAAAAGTAAGTGGGATTTAATGAAGCTCCAGACCTGCATCATGAAGGATGAACCAATCACAAGGCAAAGTCAGGCTGGTGGTTGAACAATCAATACAAATTAGGCTACTATAGCAGGTCATGAGAATAAGGGAGTGGGAAAAAAAATAATACAGTATTTACTTAGGTAGAATAGTTTAAAAATGTTTCAGAGTCTCCTGTGCATTATGTTGCAAATGTGCTTTGTTGTAGGAAACTGTTACAATGTCTGAATGCTTAGAAAGACATACAAGCTGCAGTCAGGAGAAAACACCATGCCAGTCGTTTTCAAAAGGGTCTTTCCATAAATTACTTTATTTCTCATTAAATGAGCACAGAGTCATTACCATATTAATAACAGATATGTTTATTATTACATATCCATCAGTGCGGCTTTCAATACCACTTGAAACATGCAAATCGTCCTAAGGACGAATCAGTTTTCCAGTGCTTCTTATTTAATACACAACTGCAAAGCCATTATAAATTACTGAGGAGGTATTTGGTTAAGAAATAAAATAAAATAAAACCATACTGCCCATACCATGAATGTATTCCTGCTACAAAGCAAGAGTCTGACAGCATTTACTTACATTCCTGAATAATTACCCAGAGCTTTTGCGTTGCATGCTTTTTTTTTCTTTGCATTGCCTACACACCAAGACTTATGAACCATAATCAGTCTTTCTTTGTAAGAGGAACTCTCATTCAAAGATTGTACTTAATTTAGAAAATGAATCTAGCATCTACAATACTTCAACCAATTAAAATTCAGTAAAAACCACTGATATGCAATAGTTTTTTAGAGGTTTCCTTTGTTTAGTTTTTAGATTTCTACATTTATAGACATGGCAACAATACAATTATCTCAAATTAAGGCACTAAAAGGACAATGTAAAACCCAGTAAAAGTGTTCTAACAATAATTTACAGTTCAAACAGTGCATATATTTCTTAAATGTTTGTTAACTTAATGTACGTATGTTATCACTTAAAACCGCAAGGCAATACATTATACAGTTATAGAAATTATGTACTCCCAAATATGCTTCCAAACTCGGTGGTTCTTTCCACTGTTAGTTTCTAATGCCTCTAATAGTAAAATAATTCAGTATGGCTTGGCAAAATGCATAGATTAAAGGCAATTACTTGTTTTTCCCCCTTCACAAACCTGCTGAATCAGTATTTTGTAAAGCATAATGTAAAATATTTAACACTTTGATCCATTCCATAGTGGGTGGTTAGCATTAAGGCTGTTACGAACTCTGCAGTGAAGGCACTGAAGTTCAAGTGATAAGGCTTCATTTTTAAGCTCGTTCTGCAGTCTTCAAGAGCACAACTTTGAGTCTTGAAAGCAATTGCAGTCCTCATTGAGAAACCTTCCTTCTCTTCTCCATTTCATGTGCTCATCTTGACATAAATATCCCCTTCACAGGGTAAATAGTCCTTTTCTTTCACTGACACAAAGAAAGTTGGCTGCATTTCATCATGATTGACAGGCTTTTTTTTAAATCCAAAAAGGCAGCACCTTTTTTTTTTATATATCTAGCTAAGCTTTATTTGCTTTAACTTGCATTACATAGTAATAATTAATCTAATCTACCTTTAGGCAAACCCGCAATTAAACACCCTCAGCGTGCTTTTGTGCCAAAGCAAGGAGGAGACAGTAATAGCAATCTTAACCCTGAAGCCTGTGATAGTTATGTTGAAAGGAACAACAGCCCGTCTGCACTGCTCTGTGTGGTTAAAAAAAGCCCTGTTTCTCAGACTGCATCCCATGAGATTCCATTAAGCACTGTACATGTGGTTAGCTGGAACAAAAAAGAAAACAGACAATTAATAACAAATAAAAAAATAGCTTCGTGTAGCACATGTTTATCAAGAGTTTCAGTGAAGAGAAGTATTTTATATTAACAAAGTATTTTTTTCAATTGATGTAGTACAATACTAAGATCATACCTACACAATCTTCCACAAACTGTGCTAAATTTCAACACAGAGAACAGACAGATTATAATATTACTGCAAAATAAACAACAGTAAACAATCATGGTGTATTAATGGCAAATGCAAGGTGACCCTCTTTCACTTGCAGGACAAGAAAAGGCTCTCTAGAGGGCTAAGAGCACGCACATGCAGTTGCCAGAGCTCATCTGATGTGCAGGAGTTTTGGTTGGCTGATTGTTTTTAAACATGCATTAACTTCATCAGTTGCCCAAATCCAAATATATTAAAACAAAACACCAACTGTGCTGATACAATGAGTATAAATTAGCATACTAGAAAGAATGAAGTGTAGATTCAGCTCAAGAAGCAGTACTGCAAATGCTAGCAAGTTCATCATAAAGCTCTGATTCATATTTACTAGTGAAAAATTACTAAAATGAGGAACAGAACTTCAGATGAACTTTTATGTGAAGCTCCTTTTAATGGGTCTGATACACCTTTCCAAGTCAGTGAAGCGCTGCCTATCAACTGCAAAGAAAGATGGATCAGACCCTAAATTAAATATACTAAGATGTCTTAAAGCATGTGTTAAAAGTCTGTATCCATTTGACAAAACAGTTGATGCCTGCTTACATGGTAGGACTCCATCACTGAGATCAAGTTCTTCTACGCTGTCTGACAAGAGAACAATTTTCAGATACTTAATAAAAGCTAAACATGTATATCCTATAAATCATCACCACTTCTTACTCCCAGGTCTAAGAGGCCAGGATGAGAACTGCAGGGTGCAGTGTCTAGAGTTCAGAGAAGCTGATCTAACAACTCACTGCCTCATGAAAGGAAAAGGGTCTGTGTTCCTCCACTTTATCACCTTAGGGAAGTACCCTCCTAATTATTCATCCTCAGATTTGGTACTTCTCAGTGGGCTGATTCTACTCACTAGCTCAGCAAAATAAAGTCTACATTTCTTTGACAGTTAGGAAACTGAATTATGGATCTTCATGGAAGGGTCCAAAATGGGTAATTTAGAGCACTTACCCAGGATTCAAGACAGATTAGGAGGGAAGAAGACAGAGAAGGAAAACCCTCCTCCTTAAGCAGCAACAAGCTGTCAGATTTGCTCACCTACTTATCGTGCAATCACCAGTTAAATGTTCAGTACATAAGATCCATTGTAAATGTATTTAATAATCTAAATTTAAACACGTGATACATCACCAGGGAATTTTCCTAAAATAAATCCAGTGCTCTTCGGTCTAAATATAAGAGATGGAATATGCAGTGATAATCAGGGTACAGGCTGTCCATACTACATCACAGAGGTGACTGCCAGTGACTGTTTATAGACCGAACTAACACCAAATTCGTCTGAGAAAGTCACAAAAAAATCCACAGTAGAATAGCTTGAAAGAGACGTTACTATCTGACCTTTTCCTAATGCTTGTTTGCCTGATGTAAAGCTGAATCTTCTCATTGTTTGCTCACATTGCTCTGCAGGTGCCACACAAGGCCCACTACCTTCCAGTCAACCCAACAGCCACTGTCTGAGGGGGACAGAGTGTGCCACGAAGCCACCGCAGCAGCTTCTCAAACATCAGCGAGATGTAGGAGCTCCCCACTTGCCTCCTGCACAAGTCTCCATGCAGCACAACAGGCTGGCAGCACACACATACCTACCACTCTTGCTGGTCAAGTACTGTGCCTTTCTAAAGTGCTTATGCTCAATATGCTTCTTCCTTGATACTTAGCGCCTACAATATGCAGCGTTAAAACAGAGTTTGCTGTAAATTAATGATATGTTCTAAGATGCTATGTAAGTATTAGAGATCATTAAGAAGTAAGATTTTTAAGGTCAAATATCAATTGAGTCATCAATTGATCCATCCATTGATGGAGTTAGGCTCAGTCTAGAGAAGTACTATAAATGCTAACTGTATGATTCACATCACAGTCTGTTAGAAAAATTCAGTACGTTAAAGAGATAAGATACACAGGCATTAACTTCTTAGCTATCAGAAAACTTAACAGCTCTACTTCTTCCTGAAAACCTGGAAGATCCCTCTGGGTAATGGAGAAAGATGTGAGCAGATGAAATGCAAGGCTTCACTATTCTGAGCACTGGAACAGGCTGCCCAGAGAGGTTGTGGAGTCTCCTTCACTGGAGACATTCAAAACCCGCCTGGATGCTTTCTTGCGTGATGTGCTCTGGGTGACTGCTCTGGCAGGGGGGTTGGACTAGATGATCTTTTGAGGTCCCTTCCAACCCCTAAGATTCTGTGATTCTGTGATTCTGAACAGCTGATTTGACCTGACAGTCACTAGCACAGGACAACCATCTTCACCCTATCTCCTTCCATTCTGGAGACAGAGCGATGCTTTCTGGGCTCTTCCACAAACCACTGCAACTTCCTAACCCAACAGAAAACCACATGCTTTTCTTCTGCAGGGGTAGGGTTTTTTTGCTGCTATGCTTTGGGTTTTTTGGGGTTTTTTTGCTTTTCTGTAGTGAAAACATTCCTGGATTAATTCTCTGCTGGAAAATAGATCCATTTACTGTGGTAATCTGTGAAGCATGAGCTGACACAAGATAAAGTGCAGGAAT